GCTCTTATCGTGTTGTTCATAGTCGTGTTGCCGGGATGTCCTAACCCTTGATGCCACAGTGATTCATCGGCGCGATGTCCAGGTGTTCTCCTGTACAGGTCAGAGTTGGAATAGAAGCTTGCGGTGATGTTGGCACATCTGTGAACAGCGCGTGGGGCGGGGGTCAGTTGTTGTGAAGGATTCAGTGAGTCGGTGACGGGCAATGGTGCTGTTGAAGGATCGGCGATAGGTATATCTGTTGTTGATGCTGGTGTTGTTGTCTCTGCTGTTGCTTCTGCTTTTGTGGGTGTTGCTGCTGCTGCTGCTGCTGTCTGTTGCATCACTGCTAATGCTCTTGTCCGTTCTGCTTCAGGTATGGTGTGCGAGTACCAGAAGCCTCCGGGACTAAAGTCGGGGTCGAGATCCGGAGGGTGCGTCCAAGTGGTGAAATTGACGATGGCGTCACTATTCGCAGTGCCTTGGTCTGGAACGAAGTCGAGGACGAAGACATTGTTCTTCAGGATTGCCTTCCCGATGTAAAGTGGGCCCTTCCCGTGGTACAGCTTGAACTCTTGGGTTGTGCTGTCGGCTTCAAGGTATATTCCTTTCGCCATTAACTGGCTCACACTGAGTAAGTTGTAGCCGAGTCCTTTTGCGATCAAAACCTTTCACATTTGTAGGATAGTGTTAGTCTCGAGAGACTGCAGCTGAACTACTCCTTGTCGTCGTGTGCGCAGGTTCCGGTTGTTAGCGACGGTTATCACGACTTCTTGGTTGAGGCGTTGTTCCCGTTGAATGAAGCGACTTGAGGAGCACATGTGTTGTCCGCAGCAGCTGTCCAAGAACCATGTGTCTCGGCTGGACGGCTCATTCTGAGCGATGGCAGCATACGTCGGATTTGGTTGCAGCGACCCGCGACGAGGTGTGTGTTCGTCGAGCAGTTCTTCTGGTGAGTAGGTCGGGGGTGAATCGTAACGCAGGAGTCTATTCTTGTCATACAGCTTACAATGTTTCTTGCTCCTCGTGCAGTTTGCGGCGTTGAAGACTGTGACTGGTTGGAAGATTGTGGTTGCGTGGAGGTTATTTGGCTGCTTGAAGGTCGGAGCTGGCACGGTGCTGGTAATGACTATTGATGATTGGGACAGTTGACGCAGGAGTGTCCAGATGTTCGACAGAGGTGGCAGGACGGTGGTACGTATTTCCGTGTTTGATGTTGTCGGTTGTTGTTGCTATGGCGCCTCTGGGTGTGGAAGGCAAATTCTGGTACTGACACCCTTTTCTTGTGTCGTTCTTCTTGCAGGTCCATATCTTGCTGCTCGGTGTGGAGTTCTGCGCGGAGATTTGCTTCAGAAAGTCTTCCGTGAGCCCGAAGAATGGCCCGGGTGGAACGCCATTGAGGACCGAGGCCTGCGAGGACGACGGTGACGAAGGCGTCTTCGGATATTGTTCCGCCACACCGAAGGAGTCTGTCGCGTAGACCACGACAGCGACTTATATAAGCCATTGCCTTTTCGCCGGGTTGCATTTGGAATGTTGTCAATTGAGCCATGAGACGACTCTGATTCATGCTGTCGTTTGCTTGATACAGGTTCTTCAGATGGTTGTAGGCGAGTTCGGCAGAGTTACCGTATCCGCGATAAGTTAAAATGTTTTGCTACTTGCTTGCCGTGATGTTTCACAGGAGAATGGTGTATGCCATCAAGGACTAGTATGTGGATTGTGGATTGTTGTTTGTCGTACAGTGTCACGTGCGTTGGATATGGCAGGGAACCGTCGAAGAAGCCGAGGACTTGGGTTCCTTCCATCATCAGCTCGAATTCGAAGGACCAGGTATAGAAGTCCTTTCCGTCGAAGGGTGTTGTTGTTTGCAGCTTTAGCACGTGTGCAAATTGTGACTGCAGCTGAAGCGCATCCAGTGTCTTGGTATCTTGTTCAGGTGTAGCTGGAAGTCGATTTGGCATGAAGCTGACAGAACCACGTTGGGGCTCATATAGCGCGAAGGTAGGTTGTTGATTTTCGCGCGCAAAGGAGGAGCCATCAAGACTCATGGGAGTGACCCCTTGTTGTTGTTGTTGTTGTTATTATTTGACTGTGTAGGTGCCGTTTGATGTTGCTCGCAGAACGACATGAAGGAGAAAAATTTCTCCATCATGCTTGGATCGAAGCCGGTTGACGGATTCACGGGCGCTTCAGTAGGTCCTGTAGCTGGTCCTTGGGCAGTGCCTTCTTCTGTCTTTAGTCCAGAGACCGGAGGTGGAGTAGGAGTAGTGTCGGGAGATCCGGTAGATGATCTCCTTTCCTTCTGTGTTGCCATATCTTTTGTTGTACGAGTAAAAGGAACTGAAGGTAGTTGAGCCTTGTCTTGACTGCTCTCATACCATGTTGGGCTAAACAAGCCCTTAGGATCTTTTCAATGACTAAGGCTCAGGGTAGTGATGTATTAGTGGAAGCATTTAATGAGGGCTGATCGAACCACCTTGTGCTAGTATGTGAGAACAAGATGAGTTGAAAATAATGCAGGGATACAGAGTTTATATATGATTTCAAGAATATTAGATACTTAACCGCTTTGTATCTAACTGTAACTGTAACCACTAACGCGGTCTGATTCAGCGACGACTCGGGTAACTGCTCAATAACGAGTCAGTTATTTGTCCTTGCTGTCGTGCTGTTTCGTCGAGTCAAAGGTCGATGATCTTTGACCTTCGTTTCAACTACTTCCTGTAGTCGCTTTCTGTCAACCGCTTCGCTGTAGTTCGGTTGACTCGGTGTTACCTCGCTGTAGGTCTCCTTCGTTCTTGTTATAGTGCTCGATATACCAGAAGCGTGAGTTACCGTATATGTTTCCAACAAGAAGCAAGTACAAATATGGAAGAAGCAAGGTATACCACCTGCAGATAAAAACTCTGAAAATTCAAACAGGGTGCCTAAAAAAATTCTTTGAGTTCAGACTAGGTACAAAAAAAAAGTCTGAACGGACTCTGAATCAGACTCCAAAGTCTGATATCTAGGGCCCTGATTCCTGGTAGTTCATTTCTTAACAACGCATGCATGCACGCACGCATGCATGCGGGTGTGTGCGCGCGCGCGCGCGCGCGCGCACACACACACACACACACACGCACTGTCAAACTATATATATATGTATGCTGTAGTATAGTCTGTAGGCTGTAGTGGGGTAGCCCATATGGGGTACAGCCGAATTTTAGGGTTTCTATTTGTACCCATCTTCCCAATAGCTCATTCATTCCTGCCTAGACTTCAGACACACACACCCCCCCCAACACACACACACACACACACACACACATACACACACACATGTCAGAATCACTAGGCAAGAATGAATGAAAGGAGAGGGGTTGAACTAGCAGGCAGTTGAGTACAAATAGCAAACCCTAGATTGGGCTGTACTCGCTATAGAGTACCCCACTGCAGGCTAGACAATAATAGCATTCTGACACACCCCCATAGCCAAAGTGGGGTGTAATCAGCAGAGCAAGCAAAGCAGTACAAGCTCAGGGTGGATCACAATGTCACCACACATTCTGAGCACAAGTTCAAGAAGCAATAGTTTAAAGTTCACAGTTATGAGCAAAGCTAGAGGCAGTCACAGAGGGCAAGCGAGGAGGAGGAGGGCTGGCGAGAGGAGAGAAGATGAAAGGCGCCGACTGAAGCTGCAGACACACGGGCAACAGGAGCGGCGCGCACAGTGGCTACCGAGCGCACGAGGGCACCGGACTACGGGAGTATCTGGCTCCGCGGCTACGACGAGCACACACAGGAGCAACGGACCCACAGGCGACTGGCGAAGCAGGCTCGCTGGGCTACCGAAACGCGCGAGGGCATCCGGACTACTGGCGCTGCTGGCGTCACGACGGCTACCTCCACGCAATCTCCCCCGACCGTCCCACGCCCCTCTCACACACCCCCTGCTGACACCCTAGCTCCACTCCGACGGTACCCCCCTTAAACCCCAAACCCTAGGCTCCCACACACCACCCCCCTCAGCGGCAGCTGTAGCAGAGGGAGACGAGGGAGGAGGAGGAGCAGGGGGAGGAACTCACAACCGACACCCCCATAGCCGCCACCCCCACACTCTTCACCCCCAAACCCTAATTTAGGAGAACGGGCTGTAGGAGGGGTGAGGCGCCGGTAGAAGCACGGGGGACAGTGGAGAGGGCAGGAGCAGCGAGGAACGGGCCGCCCACGGGCCTGGTAGAGCCGCCCGAACCGCGCGCAGGCGGCCCGAGCCGCGCGCGGGCCTGGCGCTTCCCGTACGGGCCGCGCGCGTGCCTGGCGCAGCCCGTACGGGCCGCGTGCCGGGTGTACGGGCCGCGCGCAGGCCACGACGGGCGACGGGGGGCGACGCGCGGGTCCCCGTCGCCCGTCGCAGCGCCTCCCGGGGGCGACGTGCCGAGTGACGGGGCAGGAACCCGCCGCGCGCCTCGGGGCACACGGCGGGCAGAGAACCGCCGCGCGCCTCGGGGCGCACGGCGGGCAGAAAACCGCCGCGTGCCTCGGGGCGCACGGCGGGCTGAAAACCCTAGTTTCGACGCCGCGCGCCACGGGGCGCGCGGCGGACAGGGAGTAGCAGTAGCAGTAGCAGTAGCAGCGGAAGGCTTAGGTGGTGGGCCCACCCACAGGATCGACCCAGGAGGGTCGACCTGCTCTGATACCATGTCAGAATCACTAGGCAAGAATGAATGAAAGGAGAGGGGTTGAACTAGCAGGCAGTTGAGTACAAATAGCAAACCCTAGATTGGGCTGTACTCGCTATAGAGTACCCCACTGCAGGCTAGACAATAATAGCATTCTGACAACACACACACAAACACACACACACACACACACACACACACACACACACACACACACACACACACACAATTGTATCACACTCGCTCACATCACAAAGTAAATGAAATCGCTTATACACATCTTGCAAACTAGTGGACTTTCCTAACATATTGGATTTGTCAATTAAGAGCCATACAATATGAATATGACTGTTGCTGATATCATTCCCACACCAAACATGTCCGATTCCTCCCATCCCTTCCTTTCCCGTCCTTCACAGCAAAGGCCAGCTTCACAAAATCTCTCAACACAGTGTCGTTGCGCTCGCAGAACCGACCCGCCCAATCAGGAGGCTCCACTGCATCTGTCCCCAGCCCGGGTATCAAATCGTTGCTGTTTTGCTTTGCCCCCTTCCAGTCCTTGGTGTATGTCGCCACTCGCCGCCGATACTTGGCTTTAAACTCGTCCCACACCTGACAGGACAACACAGGAGAAGCAACGGGAGGCAATGGGGCTAGCGAGGTAAACTTTAAGTATGATCGAACGTCTCTGCACAGAGCAAATATATAGTTGCTGTTGTGCTTCGCCCCCTTCCAGTCCTTGGTATGTGTCGTGACACGCCGCTGATACTTGGCACAGATAGAGGACAGAAGAGAAACAGGGGGACAATGGGGCTATTTGTGGTCAATTCTGATTACCAACGCACATTTCACGCTTCCCACTGCACAACCCACCTGGAATTTCTAGTGGTTGATGGTCAAATTCGAGTCGACTCAAAAGTCAAGGGCAGCCAAGACCGAAAGTAATCAACCTACCCGTCTACATCCACCCATCCACCTGGAACTTGTGGTGGTTGATGTTGGCCAGTCGCAACTCAAACTGCGGCAGCTCTCCTCTTTCAACTCAACTGGTGAATGTGGCACAGCAGCGAGTGCTGCCGGTGCTAGCACAAGAAACAGACTACCCACTTAACACCCACCCACCCACCCACCAACCCACCTGGAACTTGTAGTGGTTGATGTTGGCCAGTCGCAACTCAAACTGCAGCAGCTCTCCTCTTTCAACTCAAACTGGTGAATGTGGCACAGCAGCGAGTGCTCCCGGTGCTAGCACAAGAAACAGACTACCCGTTTAACATCCACCCACTCACCCACCCACCCACCAACCCACCTGAAACTTGTAGTGGTTGATGTTGGCCAGTCGCACCCTCCCAGAAAACACCTGGCTGCGGTACCGCTCCTCCTGCAGCTCAAACTGGTGGATGTGGCACAGCAGCGAGTGCTGCCGGTACTACAAGATACACCCACACTAACCGTTTTACACCCACCCACCTGGAACTTGTAGTGGTTGATGTTCGCCAGTCGCACCCTCCCCGAGAACACTTGACTTCGATATTTCTCTTCTCTCAACTCAAACTGGTGGACGTGGCACAGCAGCGAGTGCGCCATGGCCTCGGGCCGCACAAACGGCTTGTGGCGATCGGGCTTGTGTGTTCGGTAGGTATACCCCACCGACAAACCCTGCTCCTCCAAGGCACCTCACAACCCACCCACCTGGAATTTGTAATGATTGATGTTGGCCAGCCGTACTCTCCCTGAAAACACCTGGCTGCGATACCGCTCCTCTTTCAACTCAAACTGGTGGATGTGGCACAGCAGTGAGTCCGCCACGGCCTCGGGCCGCACAAACGACTTGTGGCGGTCGGGCTTGCGCGCCCGGCAGGTGTACCCCACCGACACGCCCTGCTGGGGATGCTCCGTGAGGCCTGAGGGGCCGAAGTCCACACAGGGGAACGAGATCTGCCCCAACGGCCGCACGTCGTCCTCTGCTCGCTCGCTCTCGTTCTCCATGCTGCCTGTTGCCATGCTGCCCCTGTCGCTGCCACCGGCACTGTTGCTGTCCCTGGCACTGTTGCTGTCACTGCTGCTCTCGCCGTCCCCGTCCTGCCATTCACTTTTGGAGTCTATGTCGCCAGTGCCCTTGTTTCTCTTCTTCGTCTTCTCCTCCTTCTCCATCCCTCTTTTCCTCGTCCCCTCTCCCTTCTCCTCCTCCTCCTCCTCCTCCTCCTCCACTTCCCCCTTTGCCTTCTTCTTCTTGGCCTGCTTCCCATTGCTCTTGTCCCCTTCACTTCCTTTTCCTTTTCCTTTCTGCTTTTTCGCCTCATCACCTTTGCTCTTCTTGCTACTCCTGCTCTCCTTGTCATTTTCCCCCAACTCTCCCTTCCCGTGCTTCTTTTCTTTGCTACCCGTTTCCAACTCCTCAAGCCCAACCCCACCCTCACCCCCACGCTCACCTTCATCATCACCCCCATAAACATCAGCAAGCAGTCTCCGACCCACACCTCCCCCCACCCCGCCCTCCCTTGCAGCTGCCACACCCTGCACCTCTGCTTTACTGTCCTCCCTCACCCCCTGACTCATCCGCTCTTCCTCCCCCCCCCCCTCCGCACAACCTCCTCCCTGCCCCGACCCGCCATTCTCCGCCGCCTGCTTCCCTCCCTCCACTTCTCCCCCTCTCCCTTCCCCTTCCCCCCCTCCCCACTCATCTTCCTCGCAACCACCTCCTCGATCTCCCTCTCACTTGCCCTCACCACCTTCCTCAGCAGATGCGGAATGAACACCCCTTTCTCCCTCACCTCGCCCCCCAGACCCTTCCTCCTCTCAGCGATATGTGCGATGAACTTGGGGGCAACGAACTCATCCACGTCTATGAAGCCCACCCACTCGCACTGCCGCGCTGCACGCAGCACACAGTGGGAGAACCCCGCCTGCTGGGACTTGATCCACGGCCACGGGTGTAGGGTTACCACTGGGGTGGAGGGCCGAGAGTGAGGAGCGGAGGTGGAGGGAGAGGGAGAGGTGGAGGAGAGTGAGGACGCGGAGGAGGGGGATTGGAGAGAGTTTTCTACTTCTGATGGTGGTGCGGCGTGGCTTTGGTTGTGAGTGGAGCCGACAAACCCCGCCCGCACCCACCACTGGGCCCCCTCAACCCCCACGTCCTCTCCTCCTGCCATGGCCATGCCTCCCAACCCTCCAGATCTTCCCAACCGTCCCTCCTCTACCCCTCCCCCTCCCCTTCCCCCACCCCGTGCTGCCGCCTCTGCCACCGCCGCAGCTGCAGCCTCGCCGGCCGGCGTGCCCACAACCAGCCGAGCGCCGCCGTCCGCCGCCAGGCTGGCGACGACAGCTGTGGTGTTGTCCTCGCTGTTGTTGTCGTAGAGGAAGATGCGATCCACGCCCATCCAGTGGTGGTATACCACCCACTCGCGCAGAAACTTCCCCACGTTGAAAATCATCGTGCACACGCACACAAAGTGCGGTTTTCCCTTCCTCCTCCTCCCCTCCTCCACTATCCCGTTCAACCCGCTTTGACCCACCACGCTGCTGCCTCCCACCCCCTCAGCTGCTTCCACTCCCGCATCGTGTTTAGTCCACACATTCGTACTACTGCCATTACCAGCATTCAAAACATCACCAAACGGACGCCCATCGCTGCTATTCAGACCGTTGGATCCTTCTTCCCCATCCTGCTGCCCGTGGGGGGCCTCGGGCTGGTCAAACGGGTCAACGGGGTCAAAGAGCGCTACAGACGGGAACAGCCGCCCCTCGTACTCCACTGTCACCGCCCTCATGGCCAAATCTGCGACCCCCGCTGCTGCACCCACCCCAGTACCGTCCCTGCCGCTGTGGCTGCTGCTGCTGTTGGCAGTACCACCATCAGAACCAGCATGGGCGGGCAGAGGGCAGAACACCACCTCCATAGCAGCAGCCCGCGCAGGCACTCGCAGCAGCCCCACCTGCTCCGCGCCCTCACTGCCACTTCCCCCCTCACTGCCTCTTTCCCCCTCGCCGCCGCTTCCTCCTGCCCCAGCCCCCCCTCTCCCCCCATCCGCCCCAAAGACGCAAGTTACATTGGCGAGCACAGGCGGCTGGTGCGGGTTGGTCTGCAGGCCCCTCACGAACAGATACACGCCCTCCCTCCCCTCCCTCTCCTCCCTCTCTTCCCCTTCCACTGTCTCTCCCTTCTCCTCCCTCCCATCACTACCTCTCCCCCTCCCCTCCCGCCCCTCCCCCCCCCTCCTCTCCCCCCTCCGCACAGTCACTGCATCGTACACCTGGGGCGGCGGCCTCTTTTTGTGGTTCAGCGCTTGCCACACGACTGAGCCACCCAGCCGCCCACCTGCCTTGTCTTCTAGCGTCATTTGCACACCCTTACGGCTGCTGGCGCCGCTGCTGCTGTCACTGCCCCCGCTGCTGGTACTGTTACTGCTGCTGCTATTGCCTGTGTTTGCAGCTACCTTGGCAATCTCCCCCTGAGGCCGAGCACAGTGCACGTAGATCACACCAGCAGTCGCCTCTCCGACCTGCCCTCCTCCCTTCCCTCCCACCTTCCCTTCTCCCATCCCTCTCCTTTCCTCCTCCCTCGTCTCGTTCCCGCCTGCCTTCTCGCCGGCCGTCCCTTGCACCCCCACTCTGGTGTCCCCTCGCTGCTCTTGCGACACTCCTACAGTCGCCAGCCGTCGTCTGCTGCCCTCGCCCGCCGCCTTGCCGCTGCTGCTGCTGCTGCTGCTGCTGCTGCTTCCCCTGCTGCTGCTGCTTCTTTCGTCGCTCACGTCGCCCACGTCGCCCACGTCGCTCAAGTCGCCCACGTCGCTCGAGTCGCCGACATCGCCCACAGCGTCGAGCCCATCGGCCGACACCTGTAGCACCCGCGTGCGAGCAGTCAACGAACCTTTCCCGAAGCTGCACTGCATCTCCTTTATCCGCTCCAGCTGCTGCTGCGACACTCGAGCCCGGCCGAACCGCGCGTTCCTAAAAATTCCGTTAAAGACTCCCTCAGAAGATCGCTTACCAGATGCAGCTGATGCGTCAGCAGATATGTAACCAGCTGCCACGTCGGATTTTGACGGGTCAGCGGCAGCCAGCGGCCGCAGCAAGAGGAGGATAAAGTCCGGGAGATCGATTGCCGCGTGGACAACCAAGTTTTTAAAGTCAACCAAGTCAATCGAGTCAACCGCAGAAATGCCGCTACTCCCGACCACCTCACCCGTCTCGCCCTTCTCGCTTGCACCTTTCTCTCCGCTCGTTGCGAGCGTTTCAACATTCTCGCTCCACCCGTCGCCTTTCAGGCTTCCGAACCCGAACCGGTCCTGCGCTCGCGCGCCGCCCCTCGCGAGCAGCTCCACCTCCATCCACGTCACGCCTCCCGCGTCGCTTGCGTCGCCTGCGACGGTCGGCCTCACCTCTATGACTTCACTACCCACCACTAAATTATCGCCATAATCCAAACTCGCATCGGTCCCTCTCCGTCCGACCAGCGCTAACGAGACGAGTAGAATCGCAAGCACAGAGAGAACAACGGATGCGGAGGAGAGGCGCAGCTGCAGCAGTAACGCCACGAGCCGGTAAAGTAGGCCGTCCCGCTTGCCCCGCGGTTTGTGATACAACGGTATCGGCGCATCTCCGCCGTTGGATGCGCCGAAACGGGGATCGGGCGTGCCTGACCGAGAAACGGGCTTCGAGTTTTGCTCCGCCGAGTCGCGCCTGCTCATCGTCGCCGGGGATGTTGCGCACGCGCGCTGCGCGATCTCCGCGAGTGCGCAAGACGGAGTCGCGCGCATTGCTGCGGTTACGTCACGCCCAACTGGGCACCAACCTGGAAAGAAATCGACCTCCTGAAATCGTAGGTTCAATATCCAACGTCTAACTAACCTACTATCGCTTCCATCTCTCCCAGTTTACAGAGTGTCAGGTTTAGTCAGCTTCAGAATCTGGCTCTTGGACTCGACTGGAAGGCGTTCCCTAGAAGAATCTGGGATCCTCTGGTCTTTCCCAACTGCACCAGTACATTCCTCCAGAAAATCAATTCCCTAGAGAGGAGCAGACAGCAGACAAGGGGCGGCGCGATGTTCGGCGGGAAGAAATGGCGGGAAGCTCGGAATCAGGGCAGGAGGGTGTCAGGTCAGTGCAGAAACAGAATATGCTAAAGAATGAGCTAATATAGGATATGCGAGTTTTTAGCTTATCGGGTGATAAGCCTAGCCAGCAATTAGCCCAGCTGGTTGAAAGAAACAAAACCATTTAGTGTGAATCTACAAAATAACCTCTACATAAGCAGCAGATTATATATTAGATGCAATGAAATACAAAAATATCTTCCTTCATTGCAGTGTAATTCGAGCATTGTACTGAGGACTGGCTGGCCAGCCCTGACCAAGTTCATAAGTTGGGGTGCTCATGAATGAAGGGCCCTGAATGAAGGAACATGGAGGACGAGGGCAGACAGAGGTGCGAGGGCAAAGAGGTGCGAGGGAAAAGAGGTGGGAGGGCAAAGAGGTGCAAGGGGAAAGAGGTATTAAAACTAGAAGCAGGAATGGTTGCATTGAAGAGAATGTGGGTACAAGTACTAACCCTAACTTTGGGTTGTACCCAGGGCCTCAGAAGTCAGGAATTTTACACTGAATTTCTGAAGTTTGACCCTCTTTTTTTATCATGACCCTGATGCATCAGCCTTTTTTTTTTTAACGACCCTGATGTTTCAGTGTTTTTTTATTCCGAACTCTGATTTTCCAGTGTTTTGTGTTTGAGGACACTGACGAGTCAGCGTTGCAGCGAGGTCGACCCTGAAACCGGAAACTCCGTAACCTCAGATTTTGGCGGCCGTCATCATTCAGATACCTGCGGCTCGACCAGATTCAGCTGAACTGCTTCTGTTTCCCTGGTTAGGACCTGCGCCCCCTACGGCTGGGACTGTATTTGCTGTTGTACTGGCCGAATTTGGGCATCGCAAAGCACGTGCAGTCCGATTCGCTGTGTTATGTCAGCATACTGGTATAAGCAACTATGCTGATCAGTGTTGTAAGTTTTTGAAACCCTGATGGATCAGCATTTTATTTCTAACAACCCTGTAAAATCAGTGTTTCACACCAGACGACACTGAAAATCAGTGTTACCCTCCTAGGGACACTGAGTGCTTAGTGTACCCAAAAACCAATATGAGGCCCTGGTTGTACCCTACATGGGCTACCCCACTATAGCCTACACAGAACTAACACATACATTTTTAGTTTGACACACCCCCATAGGCAAAGCGGTGGAGTGTTAAATTATATTGCATATCCTTTTTATAACTGTTTACAGCTTGCAGCTAGTGTATTAGTTTGTCAGAATGAGAAGTGTGAAAGAAGAATGAAAAGGCAAAGGAGGGGTTTCACTAGCAGCAGTTGGGATACATATAGCAAACCCTAACTGGGTTGTACTCGCTATAGAGCACCCCACTACAGGCTAGATAATAACATTCTGACACACCCCCATAGTCAAAGTGGGGTGTAATCAGCACAATAAGCAAGCAAAGCTAGAGGCTATCACAGAGGGCAAGTGAGGAGGAGGAGAGACTGTGGGGGCGAGAAGATGGGAGGCGACGGCTGAAGCTGCAGACACACGGGCAACAGGAGGACTGGCACAGTGGCTACCGGCGCACGAGGGCACCGGACTACAGGGAGTAACAGGCTCTGCGGCGTGGCAGAAGCAACGGACCCACGGGCGACTGGCACAGCAAGGCTCTCTGGGCTACCGAGAGCACGACGGCTCCGGACTACAGGCGCTGCGAACGACACGACGGCGGCCTCCACGTAACTTCCCCCAACTGTCCCACCCCCCTTTCACACACCCCCTGCTGCACCCCTAGCTCCACTCCCACGGCACCCCCCTTAAACCCTAAACCCTCGGCTCCCACACACCCACCCCCCTGAGCGGCAGCTGCAGCAGCGGGAGACGGAGGAGGAGGAGGAGTAGGGAACGGTGCACACAACCGGCACCCCCACAACCGCCACCCCCACACTCCTCACCCCCAAACCCTAAAACGGGTGACACGGGGTAGGAGCGCGGGGGACGGCGAGGGGGACGGCGCGCGGCCCCCAGGGCGCCACCACGGGGCAGCGAGGGGCCGCGCGCGGCTCCCCAGGGCGCCGCGACGGGGCAGCGGGGGGGTCGCGCACGGCTCCAGGAGTGGCGCGCGGGGCCCCGGGGGCGACGCGAGGGTCGACGGGGGTGGCGCGCGGGTCCCGCGGGGCAGAGCGAGCGCCGACGAGGGGCGCGCGCGGGTCCCCTGAGGCGACGCGAGGGCCGACGGGGGGGTGCGCCATGTAGGAAACCGCCGCGCGCCTCGGAGCGCACGGCGGCAGAAAGAAGACCGCGCGCGCCCGAGGCGCGCGAGAAGCAGAACAGCAGCGGAAGCAGTTAGGTGGCGGGCCCACCCACAGGATCGACCCAAGGGGGTCGACCTGCTCTGATAGCATGTCAGAATGAGAAGTATGAAAGAAGAATGAAGAAAGGAGGGGTTTCACTAGCAGCAGTTGGGATACATATAGCAAACCCTAACTGGGTTGTACTCGCTATAGAGCACCCCACTACAGGCTAGATAATAACATTCTGACATAGTTTAGCTATTAGTACCAACTGCTGGTGGTGTACCTGTCAGAATGTTATTATCTAGCCTGTAGTGGGGTGCTCTATAGCGAGTACAACCCAGTTAGGGTTTGCTATATGTACCCCAACTGCTGCTAGTGAAACCCCTCCTTTCTTCATTCTTGTTTCTGACTTCTAGTTTTGACAGTACCCTCTCCTTTGCCCTTGCCTATATCTTTGTATGCCCTCAATTATTCAAACCCTCTTTTGGCCATCTCCATTCTCTCGCTACTTTCCTAGCTCCAAGCCCTAAACCCTACTAATGGTTCCTAAGTTATGTTGACATGGTATTAAGAGCTGGGCCTTTCTAAGGCCTGATTTTCGTTCCCCATGGGCCCACCGCGTATCTCCCGACTGGCGCTCGTCACGCCCTCCGTCGCGCCCTTAGTTGCGACCGTCGTGACGAGTGCGACGGCGGGCTGTGTGGTGGCGACCGTCGGCCCGCTGCTTCGTTGCCTGCCCCGCGCTGCTCGCCCCGCGCTACCCGCCCCACGCGCTGGTCGCCCCGTCCCGCGCGCTGGCGCGTCGCCCCGCCGCTGGTCGCGGACGCCAGCACCGGCGCCTCTGACCGTCGCGGACGCCAGCGCGAGCGCCAGCGACGGTCGCCACAGCGGTCGCCGGCGCCAGCGCGGACGCCAGCGCCAACGGCGGGCACCAGCGCCAGCGCCGACGCCAGCGCCCAACGCCAACGGCGGTCGCCAGCACCAGCGCGAACGCCAGCGCCGACGGTGGGCGCCAGCGCCAGCCCGTCGCCAGCGCCCAGCGCCAGCACCTCCGCCGATGACAGTGCATGGGGGGGAGTGGGATGAGGGGGTGGCGGGATGACCAGCTCCTTGCTCTCTCCTTGCAGCGCCTGTCGCTGTGGGGGGGGGGGGGGGGGGAAGGAGGGTGAGGGGGTGGCGGGAAAGCTTCTCCCGGGCTAGCCGCCTCCTCTCCTCTCATCTCCTCTCTCCTCTGCTCCAACAGTCCCTTCTTTCCTCTCCTCTCCAACCGCCTCTCTCCACCTTTCCTCCTCCTTCCCTCCTACCTCCGCTCCTCCAGCCGCCTCTCCGCTGCACTCCTCCCCCTATCTCCTCTCCTCTAGCCGCCTCTCCTTTGCCTCCGCCTCCTGTGCACCACCAGCTTCCTCCTCCTAACCAACAGTTGGTGTTAATCACCAGCAGCCTACGCCCTCTAGTTATCCCAGCCCTCCTTCGCGCCCTTCGCGCCCTCCTCCGTTCTGGTGTTCACAGGTGCTGCCGGTCAGCCACCACTGTTTCTGTGCCTATCCCAGCTACGGCAACCGCTCTCCAGGCGACCTGGTGCCAGACACCACTAGCTAAAGCCGTAAACAGTTACGGGGGTGTGTTAAATTATATTGCATATCCTGTTTATAACTGTTTACAGCTTGCAGCTAGTGTATTAGTTTAGCTATTAGTACCAACTGCTGGTGGTGTACCCTCTCCTTTGCCCTTGCCTATATCTTTGTATGCCCTCCATTATTCAAACCCTCTTTTGGCCATCTCCATTCTCTCGCTACTTTCCTAGCTCCAAGTCCTAAACCCTACTAATGGTTCCTAAGTTATGTTGACAGAGAGAACAAGGGGTCACAAGACCAGTCAAGAAAAGCAAAGCATGTCAGAATGTGATGTTTGTCTAGCCTACAGTGGGGTACTCTAAAGCGAGTACATCTCGAATTAGGGTTTGCTATATGTACTCAACTGCCTGCTCGTGAAAACCCTCTTTCCTGTTTCGAGTTTGTGCCTGCTATTTTGACAGGCTTTCTGAGCAGGTCGACCCTCCTGGGTCGATCCTGTGGGTGGTCCCGCCCGATGCTTCCGCTGCTGTTCTGCCTATCGCACGCCCTGGGCGCACGATGTCTGCTGCCTGCCGTGCGCTCAGGGCGCGGGAAGCTTTTTTCTTCCCGCCGCGCGCTCGGGGTGCGCGGCGATTTTCTGCCCCGTCGACCCGCGCGTCCCCCCCCCCCCCGGTCTGCGGTCGCGTCACCCCCCCGGG